ATCAAATACCACCAAAAGAAAGCTCTGTTTGTTGGAAAACATGATATAAAATTGGTTAATAGCTTTTAAGTGACTCCCTTGCTCATGCAGGTCAAAATAAGAGTAATGTAACATTACCCCTTTCTTCCAGCAGAATATACACACTTTTCTTTGCCCCCCCCCCCCCAATGCTCAGTTTGGCTACCAGGAGCAAATTGGAATAACCATCACTTCAAGGTATGGGTGAGCATGTGGCAGTGCTTGTTGCTCATTATTGGTTCAGCACTGTAACATGGAAACAGGAAAGGAATCCCTAGTGCCTTTGTAATCTTGGACAAGACATCCTTTTCTGGTCCCAGCAGCTGTCACAATGGCACACAGTGGTGGATAGATGAGCATATGCTGCTAGGGAGTACAGCAATCTTATACTTTGTCCTGCTGGGCAACCAAGAGGGTCACTTGACACCATACCTTCATTTTTAATTAGAATAAAGTTGTTAAGAACAAGATGATTTAAGAGCCAATATAATAAACTGTAATAAAAAAGAGAAAATCTGTTCCCACTTCTGCTTCTGGTCTTTTTCCATTTTACCCCATTCACCCTCTGTGATTAGAGGAGGGAGATTGTGGCGTTCATCCACCTTTCCTCCAGTTACAAATCTCCTTTTTATTTATTGAAAAGAATGCAATACATTTTGAATAGAGGAGCTGGAGAGTGAGTGATCCACTGTGATCTGAGTACTCAAGCTAGAACTATCGGACATTCAGCACTGACTGCACTGTACAGGGATGAGTGAAGGTTAGTTATACACTGCTCACAAAAATTAAAGGTACGCTTTTTAATCAGAGTATAACATCAAGTCAATTAAACTCCTGGGATACTGATCTGGTCAGTAGAGTAGCAGAGGGGGTTGTTATCAGTTTCAGCTGCTTTGGTGTTGATGAAATTAACAACAGGTGTGCTAGATGGGCAACAATGAGATGACCCCCAAAACAGGAATGGTTTTACAGGTGGAGGCCACTGACATTGTTTTTCCTACTCATCTTTTTTGACTGTTTTTCACTAGTTTTGAATTTGGCTAGGGTCAGTGTTACTACAGGTAGCATGAGGAGATACCTGGACCCTACAGAGGTTGCACAGGCAGTCCAACTCCTCCAGGATGGCACATCAATACATGCCATTGCCAGAAGGTTTTCTTTGCTGGGAGACACAGTCCCAAGAGCATGGAGGAGATTTCAGGTGACAGGCAGTTTCTCTAGGAGAGCTGGACAGGACCTTAGAAGGTCCTTAACCCATCAGCAGGACTGATATCTGCTCCTTTGTGCAAGGAGGAACAGGATGAGCACTGCCAGAGCTCTACAAAATGACCTCCAGCAAGCCACTGGTGTGAATATCTCTGACCAAACAATCAGAAACAGACTTCAAGAGGGTGGCCTGAGGGCCCAACGTCCTCTAGTGGGCCCTGTGCTCACTGCCCAGCACCATAGAGCTTGATTGGCATTTGCCATTGAACACCAGAATTGGCAGGTCCACCACTGGTGCCCTGTGCTTTTCACAGATGAGAGCAGGTTCACCCTGAGCACAGGCGTTACAGACGTGAAAGGGTCTAGAGAAGCCATGGAGAATGTTATGCTGCCTGTAACATCGTTCAGCATGACCGTTTTGGTGGTGGGTCAGTGACGGTCTGGGAAGGCATATCCATGGGGGGATGCACAGACCTCTGCAGGCTAGAAAATGACACCCTGACCGCCATTAAGTATCAGGATGAAATCCTTGGACCCATTGTCAGACCTTACGCTGGTGAAGTGGGTCCTGGGTTCCTCCTAGTGCACAACAATGCCCGGCCTCATGTGGCGAGAGTTATGCAGGCAGTTCCTGGAGGATGAAGGAATTGATACCATTGTCCCCCACACTTGCCTGACATAAATCCAACAGAGCACCTCTGGGATATCATGTTTCGGTCCATCCAGCGCTGCCAGGTTGCACCTCAGACTGTCCAGGAGCTTGATGATGTCCTTGTCCAGATCTGGGAGGAAATACCCCAGAATACCATCCTTTGTCTCATTAGTAGCATGCCCCAACATTGTCAGGCATACATACAAGCACGTGGGGGCCATACAGACTACTGAATACCATTTTGAGTTGCTGCAATGAAATTACAGAAAAATGGACTAGCCTGCTGCATCATTTTTTTCATTTGTATTTTCGGGGTGTCTTTGAATTCCGTCCTCTGTAGGTTAATTATTTTGAGCAGTGTATATAATTCTTCAGCCTAGACACACTGCATTTATGTGGATTTATTTTTTTAGTGCACATATGAAAATGACTAGTTTTAGGCCGCTGTTCAACTTTAATAGTTTCATAGTTCTGGTTCTGACATCACTGCTGTACATAGAACTAAAGTATCCAGTGACTGTGATATGGGCATGTGTTATTTTCTATTACTTGTAACCTAGAAGATTTAAATAGCTCTACAATCTATTAAAAGCTGGGAATGAACAGAATTTAGAAACTGTTTGTGTGTAAAGACATGTGAATAGGAGACAGTGTATTGATGTTCTTATGATCTCTCTGTATTTTGTAAATACAATGTATCTATTTGATGTGAAACTGGCAAACACTGTACCCGCCCTTGCTGTAATCTCTCAGACACAGCTGCAAGTGCCTGCGACCTCTGTGTATAGCAAATCACTGTAATGGCCTTGAGGTCATTATAAAGGGTCAAAAACCATTCCCATGACACACCCACCAGTATGAAAATGTGACAGGCCATGGAATAGACATTGGCCTCTAAAGCAATGTTCTCTACTGATTAAATGTGTCACTGAGATCACCTAAAAGCATATTAAAACATATCGACCAGCTGTACCTACTTTATAATAATGGCAGCTGAGGCTTCCTGATTTTCACCTAGTCACATTACCTATATCTCTACTTCAAGCACAATAAACTTGCCAGGCTTCAAGCAGGCAAGGGGAAGCATATCTTCTACTGTACGTCCAGGCCACTGTGGATGTCAGCGCTGCGGGTCTCAGACCCCGGCTCCATGGTCTCTTCACCACTTCTCTCTCCTCCTGGCTGTTCATAAATCAAAGCCTGGGGCTGTGCACACTGTGAATAGGCAGGAAGAGAGAGAGGAGGAGACAGACCTATAAAAAATGCATCATTGGTGGTTCAGACTTTTAGTGGGAGCTGTAAAAAATGTCGGGAGGGGGGGGGGAGTGTAGGATGGGAGGTCAGCAGGGCATTGTACAGAGGTGCAGCAGGGCAGAGAATGGGGTCAACAGTTTGTAGGGCAGTGTACAGAGGTCATTAGTTTGTAGGGCAGTGTACAGAGGCAATTAGTTTGTAGGGCAGTGTACAGAGGTCATTAGTTTGTAGGGCAGTGTACAGGGGTCAGCAGGGTGGAGCACGGGGGTCAGCAGAGTTTAGGATAGGGGATAGCAGAGCCGAGTCCAGGGGTCAGCAGGGCGGAGAACAGAGGTCACAACTGGCAAGGCAGAGGACAGGAGTCACTGCTGGCAGGGCACTCAGCAGAGCTTCTTTGCCCATTCCTCCACAGGCAGCAGAGTTCCTCCTCCTCTATTCTCACACATAGTGTCAGATTAGAGTGGTATAGTGTCAGATTAGGGCAGTACAGAGTCAGATTAGAGTGGTATAGTGTCAGATTAGGGCAGTACAGAGTCAGATTAGAGTGGTATAGTGTCAGATTAATGCAGCATAGTGTCAGATTAGAGTGGTATAGTGTCAGATTAGAGTGGTATAGTGTCAGATTAGGGCAGTACAGAGTCAGATTAGAGTGGTATAGTGTCAGATTAGGGCAGTACAGAGTCAGATTAGAGTGGTATAGTGTCAGATTAGGGCAGTATAGTGACATATTAGCGCAGCATAGTGTCAGATTAGAGTGGTATAGTGTCAGATTAATGCAGCATAGTGTCAGATTAGGGCAGTACAGAGTCAGATTAGGGCAGCCTTTCTCAACCGGATTTAGTAGTACATTTACAAAGCCGCAAGGAAAAGAAAAGTGCAGCTGTCTGCGCAGTATGGTTCAGCGAGCAGGCAGAGCATTTGGAGTGGTAGTGGGGCAGTTGGCATTGGGGGGCACAACTAAAATCTGGAGGGCATAGCCCACCCCAGCATCCCCCTAGATCCAGCCATGTCAAACACTCCCCTTCCAGACTGACAATGCTGCTGTTAAATGTGCCCCCTGTGCTGAACAGTCATTAGAAGTACTTCAGGCTCGTTCCCTTTATTTTCAGATTGTGCTCCTGCCAGTAACACATTTCCTGTCCTAAGGTGACAAGGCTCACTCACTGTATCCAACTCTTAATCCAAATTTGAGCATTAACTATTAGGCTGTAGCACAGGGATGGTTTGCCCAAGTCAATTCTTATTATTTTCTGGGGCCCAAGAGGCACAGATGCCAGCAGCCAGTCAAAATCTATGACAGGCTGAAATACACAGTGGTTGGATGCTGCAACAAGCAGTACTCTTCTTTAGGGCCGTATGCTTTCAGCAGGTGTTTAGCATTGCTTTGCCCTGCGACAGGATTGATAATAGTCCCAGATGGATCAGGGATCTAGAATCTTTCTATGCCAAAAGCATGTAGGCACCAAGATCCCAGTGACAGGAAACACTGATCTAAGAAAAGCAAACAATGAAAAAGAGCTATTTATGCAGCATCAGCCAGCAACATTTGGCAGCAAGTTCATTTTCAATTACCAATGTTTCCAACCCACCTGATCAAGATACATCATTCGATGTCTTATGTTGCTGTCATTCTCTTTCCAATCGAAGTAAAATTATGTGTGACAACAGGGTGGTGCATGCCTGGCTAGCTGGGCTATAGTGTTTCATTTTTGTACCGTATGTGCACGGAGCCCTAGTCTAAGATTATATTTCTAACTTTGATTTTAGGACTATACCTAATACTCTTTTCAAATTTTGTAGCCTTGCGTATATAGCACATTGCATGAGTAATTTTGTTTATGGTTAATATGTTTTGTCTTCTCTTCTGCAGGTGTCTGAAAGCTTGGTGAGGAGAGATGGAGATTTTCTGATCAGGGATTCTTTGTCCAGTCCTGGAAACTTTGTGCTTACCTGTCAGTGGAAAAATCTTTCACAGCATTTCAAGATAAATAAGGTCGTCATAAGACTCAATGAAGCTTACAGTCGGATTCAGTACCAGTTTGAACATGAAAGCTTTGACAATGTCCCTGCGTTGGTTAGGTACTATGTAGGGAACCGCAAACCTGTGTCCCAGCAAAGCGGGGCCATCATTTTCCAGCCTATTAACAGAACTGTTCCACTTAGGTGTATAGAGGAGAAATATGGAACATCTCCCATTAGACGCTTGGAGCTGGGAGCTCCGGATGGAAAAGCAGAAACTCCAAAAAGGCTGAGTTTAAACATTGGCCATGGACAGATCCTGCTGCAGGAGCAAAACCTGATACGGACCAGTCTGCTTAGGTTAGTAGATGGATGCCCTGTGGAGGAAAACCCCATTTGCAAGTCCGCTGTTGCTATGCTTTAGTCTCACCTACTCGATACAAAGTTGATTATGCTTAGGAGGTTTTCTTTTTTTCTGTGAGAAAGTAGGAAGTCCACATAGGTAATGAGCAGTCACCAGTTCAAAGGTTGACTTGCAATATGAAACTACTTTTTTTTGGATCAAGCTGGACAGGTCAGAGGGTCTTGGGCTCTCAGATTTGTATGGAAGCGTATCAAAACAAGTGCTTGGCTGGAGGTCCAAATAAAGGAATCCTTGCCACTTTGCACAGGTTTCAAAGGTTCTTGCTGAATGAGGGATCTCACTCAAAAAGTGACCAGTGTATTGTAAAGTAAAAACTCACAAATCACAGGCATATGTTCTTGTATTTCACTTATGATTTTGTATGCTCAATTTTCAACTGTAAATATAATAAGTGACTAGATCAATGCCTAACAACAGTAAGTGTGCATTTCAGTTCTAGATCTGTTGGCTTCAGTATTTCCCCCTAAACCATTTTAAAGTGTTTTTTTTTTTATATACAGTGTCCACTCCAAGCATTTAAATTGGTGTGATTTTAGCCAGATTTATTCAATATTGTATTGTAGTATGTTCTTTTACCTTCCATTTCTACATTATAAGTATGCTTTTATTATTTAATAATTTTTTATGCATGTATATTGTATTTTTTTAGAAATAAAGAGAAGAGTGGCAGCCACCCAGCTTGTTTGGAGAGCATGCGAGAAAAGAAACGGCCGCTAAATTCTTACCAATCTGAAAGCTACCTGCCACTAGGTTTGTTTCCTTCTGTCTGGCTTCTTATCAATGGTTTTTGCTTCACTGTGTTTTGGCATACATCCTTCATGCATGGGAATAGATTTGTTTGGACTTATATTACCTCAAAGACTGGGACAGATATGGACACTAGAACTATTTCACCTATATTGGAGCTAAAATACAACTGATCAATGAATATTGGGACAAAAGTTTATTAGGATGTACAGTTGTGTTCAAAATAATAGCAGTGTGTTGAAAAAAGTGAATAAAGCTCAAAATCCTTCTAATAGCTTTTATTTCCATACACACAAATGCATTGGGAACACTACACATTCTATTCCAAATCAAAACATGAAGAAAAATAGATTACATTTGTGTTGTTCCTCTAAAAAAAATTGAAGAAAAGTGAATATTAGTCTTCAAAAAAATAGCAGTGTTTGTATTCTTCTTTACAAACTCAAACATTCACTATATAAACTGAAAAATGTTTGAAGATTTTGCTTTCCTTTGAATCACTTAATTAATATTTAGCTGTATAAGCACTGTTTCTGAGAACTGCTGTACATCTGTGTTGCATGGAGTCAACCAACTTCTGGCACCTGTGAACAGGTATTCCAGCCCAAGATGATTGGACTACATTCCACAGTTCTTCTATATTTCTTGGTTTTGCCTCAGAAACTGCATTTTTGATGTCACCCCACAAGTTTTTCTATTGGATTAAGATCCGGGGATTGGGCTGGCCACTCCATAACGTCAATCTTGTTGGTCTGGAACCAAGATGTTGCACGTTTACTGGTGTGTTTGGGGTCGTTGTCTTGTTGGAACACCCATTTCAAGGGCATTTCCTCTTCAGCATAAGGCAGCATGACCTCTTCAAGTAGTCTGATGTATTCAAACTGATCCATGATCCCTGGTATGCGACAAATAGGCCCAACACCGTAGTATGAGAAACATCCCCATATCATGATGCTTGCGCAACCATGCTTCACTGTCTTCACAGTGTACTGTGGCTTGAATTCAGTGTTTGGGGTCGTCTGACAAACTGTCTCCGGCCACTAGACCCAAAAAGAACAATCTTACTTTCATCAGTCCACAAAATGTTGCGCCATTTCTCTTTAGGCCAGTCAATGTGCTCTTTGGCAAATTGTAACCTCTTCAGCACGTCTTTTTTTCAACATTGGAACTTTGCGGGGGCTTCTTGCAGATAGCTTGGCTTCTTCTAATTGTAACAGTACTCACAGGTAACTTTAGACCTTCTTTGATCTTCCTGGAGCTGATTGTTGGCTGAGTCCTTGCCATTTTGGCTATTCTTCTATCCATTCGAGTGGTAGTTTTTTCGCTTTCTTCCACGTCTTTCAGGTTTTGGTTGCCATTTTAAAGCATTTGCAATCATTTTAGCTGAGCAGCCTATCATTTTCTGCACTTTTTTTATATGTTTTCCCCTCTGCAATCAACTTTTTAATCAAGGTACGCTGTTCTTCTGAACAATGTCTGGAACGACCCATTTTCCTCAGAATTTCAGAGAGAAATGCACTGTAACCATAATGTACAACATTTGCTGCCTTCCTTCCTTAAATAAGGGCAATAATTGCCACCTGTTTTTCAAAGAATGAATGACCTCACTAATAGAACTCCACACTGCTATTATTTTGAACATGCCCCTTTCAATTAGTGATTCAATTACACAGAATCAGCAGCATGCATGTCATGACTGTTGTGTCTGTTGGATTTCTATTACTCTACTACACCTGCTGGTAAATTATTTGCCATGTAGAAATATCATTTCTACCAAAAACAGTGATTGATCAGGTTAGTGATGTCTGACTGCTATTATTTTGAACACAACTGTATATAGGACTGCAAGATTTACTAGGCAAGCTCATTACAAAATAGCTGCAAGAACCATTTCATTGGTGATCTGTTTAAGATGTAAATTGGCAATGACTATATACCAGTGAATATTGCAATTAAAGTAAAAACATGACTCTAGTACAGACAAAAAAAATGGTGTCACTTCTAAGTGACACCAAAATGGGGGAAAGGCTAACTGTAGTCTGTCTAGTACAACAAACCTGGGATAGTGTTCTGTGGACTGCCTGATGAAACAAAATTTATCACATTTAATTAGGTGTGGGTCAGCTTACCCAACATGGGCAATCTAAGCAAAAGAGCAGGAGGGGGCTTTCCTCCTGGTTTTTTGCCTAGAACCCAACTCTACAGACTTCTGTTAATTAAACTGTTCATAGATGGATCGAAATTCGACAGGTTCAGTGGGATCTAACCGATCTAACAATCGGCTTCTCAATAATAATGTTGGAAAATGTTCATCTGTCAGAATACGATGCAGCGGTGAAGATTCCTCCATCTACCTCGGTTGTGTGGATGGGTGAATCCTTTTTTTTTTTTTTTTTTTTTTTTTTTTCAATCAGCCGGCTGGCCAGCTTTACATGGTTTGGTGATAGATTCTTTTTTTGTGCAACTATAATGTTGCTGGTGGGACTGAGCTCTTATTCCAGTGAGACACATTGGTAGCCTTAAAAAATAAAGTGTAATGACTTCTACTGTGTTAAAATATATATGTACAGTGGCTAAATGGTCAGCACCTCTGCCTGGCAGTAATAGGGTTGTTGGTTTAAATCCCAGCCACGGCACCTCCTGCCTGGAGTTTGCATGTTCTCCCTGTGCCTGCGTGGGTTTCCTCAGGGTACTCCGGTTTCCTCCCACACTCCAAAGACATGCTGGTAGGTGAATTGGATCCTGTCTAAATTGTCCCTAGTATGTGTATGTATGAATGTAAGCGAGGGACCTTAGATTGTACACCCCTTGAGGGTTAGGGACTGATGTGAATGTACAATATATATATATAAAGCCCTGCATAAATTGACAGCGCTATATAAGTACCTGAAACAAATAAAATATGTAAACACTCACCTTGTAAAACAGCCCATTCAATTTAAAATAGAAATGAAAGGCAAAACATTCCTGTATAGCTGTAAAAAGCATTATAAATATCTTTTTTCCTCTGTTTTATATGTGATCGCATCATATCTGCTTCTTCTGTAGCTTGGAACAGAGAGCTGGGGGAAGAGAAACAGCAGCACACTGTGGGGGGTGGGCAGAAGTCTGATCATTGGAGGAGAGCACACTGAGTTTTCAGCACAGCTAGGTTTGTAATAGGAAAGAAGAGGGACTGGAAGGAACACCAGGGATTTCACACACAGAAAGAATGCAAAGAGAACAGGATACTTTTCAAGTACATGGTACAGCAGGCACATATCAGGAATATGAAATGTTGGGTTTATATACTCTTTAAATCCAATCTTCCCAAAATCTATGAACTACTTCTAAAAATGTCAGTGCCAGGAACAATGTAGCTTTAATCTGGTGTATGCAGGTTTCTGGTTGCCATGGTGACCTGGAAACTAAGACTAGTTAATGCCGGATAAAAGTCTTATAAAAAGTAATAATTTATTGCTTTTCTTTCAGGCTGCAGACAACCATACTTGTCAGCTGGAAATGATGGAAAATTAACACCCAGGCCAAATGTGTTCAGGACAGGAAGTGAACCCACTCTAAGCCCAACAGAAATTCGAAGGTTCAGCAATGAAGCTCATCCTCCTGAAGCTTTGAGGAGATCAGACAGTCAACTGTGCCCTAAACCTCCTGCGAAGCCCAGCAAGGCACTCTGTATGAAACAGCCACCGTCACCTACAGTCTGGCAAAACTCGGAGGCAAATTACTGTGAACTTCATCCTAATCCTCCTGATGATTGTGGATGGTCAAGGACACATTCCTCCCACAACAGCTTTGTAGAAACCCCCAAAACTGGTGAGGAGGATACCTTCTCTTTCAGTAACTCAGAGATGAGCTTCCTGGGATTCGAGGACTGTGTCTCTCAATGTTCAACAGAACTGATTGACAAGGGGGATGAAGTAGATTTTATCAGGCCAGTGTATGAGACTGAATCTTCTTTAAAACCCAATGAGTTTGAGTCACTTCTACTTACCCCAGAAAACAAACCTCTGGAAACAGCCCTGCTTAGACGGGCCAAAGAACTTTTCACCAACAATGACCCGAGGACTATTGCCCAACATATTCTCAGAATGGACTGCAAGGTAAATATGTACACTTTTTCATTTCCAGACCCAGGAAAAATGCTAAACATACTGTGAGTAAACACCAGAAAAATGACTGGCACTCATCTCATATCTGTAATGTCAAGTGGATGGTTTACATTTTGTACCTTTTTAATATACAGTATGTACCAGGCAGTAATTCATAAGATCAGGCAGTCTAGCTTAACCTGCTAATAATTGCCTACTAAAAGATTCCTGGGTGTAATCGCTAATTTATGACTGGTCAACAGCTGTAATTGTAAATGAGACCTGAAGTAGACACTTATGTTTTTGGGGTTTTTTTCTGCTTAATGAAAGCAGACATATGACTCCTCCTACAGCCAACATCTTCAATTCTTGACGTCTGGTACAGATAATCTGTGATAAAATCTAGTGAAACAAGCATCACAGTTAAGATGAATCGTGGTCACCTTTTAATTTGGCTGACCAAATTTAGGCAAATCCCATTACAGAGTTGCCACTTGAATAAGTGACTACATTGGAAAATTTGTCATCAAGATAAAGTAAATCTACCTAATAAATTGAAAGGAATTCCGTCTTCCAAGGAAACACAGCAGCTCTGACCTAAAGCTTAGGCAGCTTGTAGAATAATGTGCATCTCCATGTTGGCCCACCACTTACTGCCCAGCTACTAAAAAGGGCGCAGGTCCGGTTTGTGACGCAAACAATACAAGGAATAAGGTTGGATGCCCGTGCATCTGAAATTGTACCTAAAACCCCATTTTCTTTATTTCCGTAGGTGAAAAGCTGGACGAAGGCACACACAGAGTGAGGTTGGCCCGTTTCAAGTCTTACTGATGCTTAATCATAACCATCATCAGCATGACGTAAATCAAGCATCAGTAAGATGTGAAACGCATCAGCCTTGCTCTTGTCTTGCATTTTACCTATGGAAATAAAGAAGATGGAGTTTAAGCCACAATTTGAGGTGTGCGGTCATCCAACCTTATTCCTTGTATTGTGTAAAGTCTAGGTAGCCTGGTCTTTGGCTACCAGTAAACCTTGAAGGTGTTTGTGCTTTAAAAATGTGCATTTCACACTATTCAAATGAATAAAAGGATAATAAAAAAAAGTGCGTAGAGCTTGGTCACATGACCCAAGTCACAAGAACAGCCTCCAATGACAACATACTTTCTGCAGCGGTAATCAGAGAGAGCTCCTTTCCAGGCTCCATACTTCATTATGTAAATTGCACAAAGATGCGGGTCACCATGTGGAGTAATGTTGTGGAATCCAACAGTTAGCGGGTATCCACTCTGTTATAAATAAGCTACTAAAAGTTGTGAATCTGGAATACTCTTGTAGAAAAGAAACTTTTCCAAATACTTTAGCCAAATTTAAAGCTGAACTTGAGGCAGATATCTAATAGACTAGCTCCCCTGCTGCTTTTACTTATTCTCCTTGCGACCCCCCCTGCCTCATTATCCTGCCACAGACCTTAGTAGAAAGCATGTGGTAGTTAGACATAGACCCTAACATAGGGCTAAGGACCTCTCCCCAATCCAGTGTAATAGTGCTCTGGCCTGATGATTGGCTACTTAAGCACTGTGCACTACATAATGGGAGGAATGGAAGGTGGTTCCCTGTACTCCTATACCCAAAATGCTAATAAATAGTGGTGGGTGACTGTTGAAAAGACTAGTAGCAGAGGAAATATGCTGTAAAGAGAACCTGTTACTTATACCTCAATAAGAATTGCCCACAGGGTAAAGTAAGGTCTTATCTTGTCTGGAGACTGAAGCTAAATAACTGTTATCTAATGGTAACGTTAATCTGACAATAGACGGTTCAGACCATGTATGGGCAGGCAGCCTGTCGGATTTTACATGCGATTATTGCTATATTGCTAGCGGCTAAGCTCTCCTGGGAGTGAGGGCTCCCTCTCCCCGTTAGGAGAACGCAATGGCTCTGTGGGAGGGATTCTTCCATCAACACTGTCTGTGCTGATGGGGGAATCAAGCGATTTTTTTTTCTTAGAACCCATGGTTGAAGAAAAGAATTGTTCCATCTATTGCCAGCTTTATTTTGATGCTTTTGTAGGAGCCGATTTGGTGTTAAAATTGTGCTTTTTGATTGTTGTTGAATGTGTTATTAAAATCACTTGAATTTTGAATGAATTAGGTCAATTTATGACCTTGGGATGTCGTCTTCAGTCATTTTTTCTGAATTTAGAGGAGGAATAATTGAAACTTTTTCTCATCCTGTCAATACTGCATTTCCTGAACATAAAATGTATAAACCTTTGCACTTTGCAGGTTGCTAGGATACTTGACGTCTCACCAGAGATGGAGAGGATCATGGGAGTGAGCTGTGGGCTAGAACTAATAACTCTGCCGTATGGACACCAACTGCGCCTAGACTTAATTGAAAGGTAAACATCCTCTTAGATATCTGGATATGCTGGGAACTCTGCACACCTGTTGCTTCTGACATTACTAAGAATTATATGTAGTTTAGAATAGAAAAGATGACTCTATTTGCTCAAAGGGTTTTCCTCAGCCATGGTAAGGACACTGAAAATGTGATTTGTCCTCATTGAAACAGGTGGTGTATTAGTATGTACCAAGTTGGCCATTATGTTTCCATTTCTGCTTATACGCCAGCACAGTATATCAGGCCCTGGAGCTGGTTTGACTTGGGACAGGAAATAAGAGAAATACTTCTAACAACGATAAACAGTGTTTCTGCTGGTCTACTAACCCTTCCTGTCGCAGGTAGCACCAACCACAAAATGTTTAACTATTGTTACTTTACTGTAGAAGACAGTATAATGGTCCTCAAGCTTCTAGCACATCCATTTTTTTTTGGATCTCTCCTTTTATCAATTTTTTTTTTTTGGGAATACATCACACTTTCCTGAAATGATTCCCTGATACTGCACAGTCTATATAATGTGGTTCTAAACCTTGAGGTTACACCAAGATCTAAACCAGGGGTCCTCAAACTTTTTAAACAGGGGGCCAGTTCACTGTTCCTCAGACCGTTGGAGGGCCAGACTATAGTTTTAAAAAAAAAAAAAAACTATGAACAAATGCGGACACAGTACAGGAGATGACCAGAGACTGCGGACATACAACGGCGGTGGGAATACTGGGCCGGCCGCTCCATAAGACGCACAGACATTTCCCCCCAAGTGTGTCTTATGGAGCGAAATAGTGTCCCATCATTAGTGTCAGTGGGAGGAATAGTGCCCCATAATAGGTGTCAGTGGGAGGAATAGTGCCCCGTCATTGGTGTCAGTGGGAGGAATAGTGCCCTGTCATTGGTGTCAGTGGGAGGAATAGTGCCCTGTCATTGGTCTCAGTGGGAAGAATCGTGCCCCATCATTGGTGTCAGTGGGAAGAATAGTGCCCCATCATTGGTGTCAGTAGGAGGAATAGTACGTCATTGGTGTCAGTGGGGGGGAAATAGTGCCCCATCATTGGTGTCAGTGGGTGGAATAGTGCCCCATCATTGGTGTCAGTGGGAAGAATCGTGCATCATTAGTGTCAGTGGGGGGAATAGTGCCCCATCATTGGTGTCAGTGGGAGGAATAGTGCCCCATCATTGGTGTCAGTGGGAGGAATAGTACGTCATTGGTGTCAGTGGGGCGGAAATAGTGCCCCATCATTGGTGTCAGTGGGAGGAATAGTACGTCATTGGTGTCAGTGGGGGGGAATAGTGCCCCATCACTGGTGTCAGTGGGAAGAATAGTGCCCCATCTTTGGTGTCAGTGGGAGGAATAGTACGTCATTGTGTCAGTGGCGGGGAATAGTGCCCCATCATTGGTGTCAGTGGGAGGAATAGTGCCCCATCATTGGTGTCAGTGGGTGGGGGGGAATAGTGCCCCATCATTGGTGTCAGTGGGAGGAATAGTGCCCCATCATTGTGTGTCAGTGGGAGGAATAGTACGTCATTGGTGTCAGTGGGGGGCGGAAATAGTGCCCCATCATTGGTGTCAGTGGGAGGAAATAGTACGTCATTGGTGTCAGTGGGGGGGGAATAGTGCCCCATCACTGGTGTCAGTGGGAAGAATAGTGCCCCATCTTTGGGTGTCAGTGGGAGGAATAGTACGTCATTGTGTCAGTGGCGGGGAATAGTGCCCCATCATTAGTGTCAGTGGGGGGGGATAGTGTCCCATCGTTGGTGTCAGTGGGGGTGGAATAGTGCCCCATCATTGGTGTCAGTGGGGGGGTGGAATAGTGCCCCATCGTTGGTGTCACTGGGGGGGAGGAATAGTGCCCCATCGTTGGTGTCACTGGGGGGAGGAATAGTGCCCCATCGTTGGTGTCAGTGGAATAGTGTCCCATCGTTGGTGTCAGTGGAGGGTGGAATAGTGTCCCATCGTTGGTGTCAGTGGAGGGTGGAATAGTGCCCCATCGTTGGTGTCAGTGGAGGGTGGAATAGTGCCCCATCGTTGGTGGCAGTGGGGGGAGGAATAGTGTCCCATCATTAGTGTCAGTGGGAGGAATAATGCCCCATCATTAGTATCAGTGACACCAATGATGGGGCACTATTCCTCCCACTGACACCAATGACACGTAACTTGCTGACCCCTCTTCCAGCATGGTAATGCTGCAGCCAGCATACCTGGTTGCAGCAGCACCATCATCACGGCACACTTACCTGTCAGCTGTCCTTCACTCCGGCTTCTCTCTCACTCGATGTTTGTGGGGCCGCTCAGCTCCGCCTCCTCGCAGGTGATTGGCCACCTGTGTGCCTTTCCTGAGCTACAGTTCTGGTGCCCAATCACTGGTGAGGAGGTGGAGCCGAGCAGCAGCAGGAGTGAGGGAGTGGCTGGAGTGCATGAAGGAGCAGCGCTTCCTGGACTGGATTGTCGTGGGACTGGGACCGGAGCCAGGTAAGGTACAGCAGCCCCCTGCCCGCCCCTGTACTTAGTGTCCCTTCCTGTCCCGCCCCTGCCGGCGGGCCGGATAAATGGCCTCGGCGGGCCGCAGTTTGAGGACTCCTGATCTAAATGATGGGGCACACCACCAGCCATTCCTTTACATTGAAAGTGCGTTTGTAGTAAATGGGTCTTTAATTTTGCTCATAATTGGGTCACATGCCTTTCCTTCTTTTTTACTGCCGCGCATCATGGGCTGGTGGGACTAAGGCGGTACAGGTCTCATATCCAGTGACATTGCCTCATCTTTTTCAGCCCCTCCACCCCTTCCAGGCCATGCAAAGTGGAGTGGAGCTGTCAGTCAAGGATCAGATCCCAACTTAGGCCAGACAGTTATAGAATGATGAGATTTCCTCCACAGAAAGTGTGTAGATGAAATGGAGCATGAACATTGTGGTGGCAACAGTGCAGAGGCTATATGAACCTGCAGATCATAGCAAAAAGGAACTATCGGTAACTGCCAGATTGACCAAGTCATTTATTAATAAAGATTTTAGACCTAAACAATGAGCACAGAAACATTATAGGAATTAGTATAGTAATTGTATATTCACAGTGCTGCAATGTTACCTCTAAACTTATGCAGCCCAGATGCCATTGACTTCAATGTAAAACCTGTTTTCATCCTGTCTACCTGTTGCCGAACCATCCATTGGAGTCAGTGGCATTAAACCATGTGTTTGCTTCACAGAGCTGCGATTCAAGTAAGTATGACTTACACAATGTGCTGGGGAGGGGAGGTGAAACGTGAACTTGCCTTTTAAACCAGGTGGTTTTTACATTTAATACTTCCATTAAAAAATGAAATAAATATAAATTTTAGAATAGTGGGTGGAGTTATTCAGATCATTTTGTCAGGCCTTAGCAGCCAAATGTACAACCAGATTTGCTGATCTTTAGAACATATAGAGCTAAAACCATACAAATTTAGGGTGAAAGCAGAGATATAAATACATTTGCATTTCAGAGATTACAGTGCTTCCCTGACCGTTCCTTCATCTTTCATTTACCATAGAAGGCAGGTACTCTCATTGTTCAGGCCTCATGCAGGATCAGTACCTTCTTCCTAGACTTGAGTTGCTTGCCCATAGAGAAGTTATCTAAAGTCTCATGTCTGTGCTGTAATCTTATGTTTTTTGCAGCTGAACCCCCTACCGTCTGTCTGTGGCCCATCAATGTAAATTTCCTTCACTCACGGATCAACCCCTTTGCTATGTTACCTGCTAGTGTATAGCCATCATCATACTCAGCAACTCCGTTCATTTACTGCCTTTCACCCAATTAATTGGCTTATTAGGTTGGAGTTTTTAATGATACACGGTGCAGTTTTTTGAAAAAGTAAACTTTGTATACCAAAAATGAATGTATGCAGACTATATAATTATTAAAGCTGAACTGCCACAGATATCCTGATGCAAGGTCCCTCACTGCCACGGACCTGTTCTCCCTGGCTTCTTTGGATTGGAAGGTCTTCAGCCATCTTGATTGACCATCACGGGATGACATAACTCCTGCACAGGCATTCACTCGTCCCAACGCATAAGCTCCATGCAGAGAATGTACCTTCAGCTGTGCATTGTAAAGAATACTATGAACAAGCATGTTATTATTTTTTTATTGTAGTAGGACATAGCATGTCTCCTATGCGATAAATATCTTGCCTGACTGCAGTTTGCTACTTTCTTGAGTTCCACTGTAAAGTAGAACTATAGGCAAAACTTTTTTAAGGGAGGCTCATAACCCGTCAGTTTATTTTATGCTGTCTGTGGCCCATGGAGGAGATTACCCCCTCACTTTCTTTCTCATAGCTAAAACAGGAAGTGAAAGGAAATCCCTGCAAATTAAAGGTATCTCTTGGGGACCCCCCCGGTCAATAGAACCAGTGTCGCCATTGGAAGATTTCCCCTCTGTTACTTTTCTGAGGACAACCCAAAATTTGGGATTTTCTTTTACTTTCCTTTTCAATGACAATAGTAAACAGGACAATTAGAGAGGGTGAATCTCCTTAACAGGAGCACAGAAAGCAATAAAAGCTGATAGATGGTCTAATCCCTCTTCACTATATCCAAATCTAAGAAAAAAGTGTTGTCTTTAGTTGTACTTTAAGGCACACTGCAGCTCTCACAGGCACTTTGCTTTTTTCTTTCCTTTCTGCCCCTAAACATCCCTCTATATTAGCCTATTTGTCCATGCACACATACAGTGGGAAAAATAATTTGATCCCCTGCAGATTTTGTTAGTTTGCCCACTTACAAAAAACGATGTCTGCAATTTTTTATCATAGGTATATTTTAAATAATAGAGAGAGAATATCAACCGAAAATCCAGAAAAAAACACAATACAAATGTTAAAAACCAAATTGCAGTTCAGTGAGTAAAATATGTATTTGATCCTCTACCAACCAACAATAATTCTTACTCCCACAGACTGGCTATGTGCTCATGTGGCACACAGATTAGTCCTGTCAATTTAAGAAGGTGCTCCTAAAGACAACTTATGTGTATAAAAGACACCTGTCCACAGAATCTTTCTTCCATTCAAACCATCACCATGGGCAAGACCAAAGAGCTGTCAAAGGACATCAAGGACAAGATTGTAGACCTGCACAAGGCTGGAATGGGCTACAATACCATCAGCAAGAAGCTTGCTGAGAAGTAGACAACTGTTGGGAGCGATTATTCTCAAATGGAAGCAATATAAAATAACAATCGCCCTCGGTCTGGAGCTCCATGTAAGATTTTGCATCATGGGGTAACGATGATCATGAGAAAAGTGAGGGATCAGCCCAGAACTACACGGGAAGAGCTTGTGATTGATATCAAGGCAGTTGGGACCACAGTCACCAAATCCATTGGTAACCCAATACACCACCATGGATTAAAATCCTGCAGTGCCTGCAAGCTCCCCTCCGCAAGAAGGCACATGTACAGGGTCATCTGAAGTTTGCCAATGAACATCTAAATGATTCAGAGAAGGAGTGGAAGAAAGCGCTGTGGTCAGAGGAGACCAAAATTGAGCTCTTTGGCATTAACTCGACTCGTCGTTCCTCCAATAACCATAAGAACACCATCTCTCCAGTCAAGCACGGAGGTGGAAACATTATGCTTTGGGGCTTTTTCTCTGCTAAAGGTGACTGTGCCGCATTGAGAGGCCAATGGACAGGGCCATATATTGTAAAATCTTGGATGAGAATCTTCTTCCCTCTTCTTTTTGCTAGAGCTTCCAGCATGACAATGACCCAAAACACACGGCCAAGGCAACAAAGGAATGGCTCAAGAAGAAGCACATTAAGGTCATGGAGTGGCCTAGCCAGTCTCCAGCCCTTAATCTTATAGAAAATGTATGGAGGGAGCTAAAACTTCTGGTTGCCAAGCGACAGTCAAGAAACCTTAAGGATAGCTTCACATCTGTGCACAGTTTGCGTTTTACCCGTTTCTGCATTGTGTTTTGCGTTGCATTTTTGCACCTGTGTTTTTGCCACGTTTTGTCTCTTCTAATTCTGCTAGGCAGATTTAAAATGCAAAACGCATCTAAAAATGTGGTAGACGCAGCAAAATTGGGTGAAAATGCAGAAATGTGAGTGTCCCATAGCAAATCGTGTTAAATGGACTGTAATGCGTTTCTGCAAAACTCTGCAGAAAATGCTTAGGTGTGAGCCTAGGGCAGTGTTTCTCAACTCCAGTCCTCATGGACCCCCAACAGGTCATGTTTTCAGGATTTCCATTATTTTGCACAGGTGATTTGATCAGTTTCACTGCCTTAGTAATTACCACAGCTGTTTCACCTGAGGGAAATCCTGAAAACATGACCTGTTGGGGGTCCATGAGGACTGGAGTTGAGAAACACTGGCCTAGGGTAAGGATTTAGAGAAGATCTGTAAAGAAGAGTGAACATAATCCTCCTGAAATGTGTGAAACCCTGGTAACCTAATAAAAGAAATGTTTTACCTCTGTGCCTGCCAACGTGGGTTTCTCCACCAAGTCATGTTTTGCTTGGGGATCAAATAGTTATTTTACTCACTGAACTGCAACTCAATTTATAACATTTGTATGTGTTTTTTTCTGGATTGTTGGTTGCTATTTTGTCTATCATTTACAATACATCTATGATAAAAATGATAGACCCTTCATTTCTTTGTAAGTGGGCAAACTTAAAAAATCTGCAGGGGATCAAATAATTATTTTGCCCACTGTAGGTGTTTAGGGGCAGAAATCTGAACGCACCAAAAATCACGTTCAGGAGAGGTGGATTTAGGCAGAAAAAACACTCGATATTCTAAATACTAGAGGCGTTTTTAATATCAGAATTGATGAATATTATGGCCATTGAAATGAATAAACGTCAAAACACTTGACATACCTAAACAAGTTTGAGAAATACACTATTAGGCATGTTTTTAACACTTTTCTCCTGTTAGGCCTCATGCACATTGGGCTCTTTTGACCACCTTTCTAATATTCCACTTAATGAATGCCTGTTTCTCAGAAAGCTGACACACCTCATGAGAAATGATCTTTGTGAAAATCTACCTCAGTGGAGATAATTATACAATCACATGTTCATTTTACAGGCACACCACAATGGCTATAGGAATTGCAGTGGACATTTTGGGATGTACCGGCAGCTCTGAGGAAAGGGTTGCAACGCTCAACAAGATTATCCAAATCGCTGTAGAACTAAAGGAATTGGGGGATTTCTTTGCATTTTCTTCCATCTTGAAAGCACTTGAGATGCCTCAGGTAAGGATGACCAGCATACTTTTTATTAAGCTACACTAATGACCTTTTCAAATTTTTTTTTTTTATCAAAAAATGCTTCAGGACAAATTGAATCTAAAAGGTACACATCAGTCAAAATTAAAGTCATAGCACTGGAAGATGTAGGCCTCATGCACACAAGCTGTTTTTACATCTGCTATTTTGGGTGTCAGGCGGTTTTTTTTTTCTACAGCCAGTAAACTCCCCAGTATGATATCCTATCTGTCCATGCACACATAGGCTTTTATCAGTGGCTTTTGGCAGGGGTGATTTCAGGCTGGAAAATACTCCCCAGAACAATTACATTTGCAGAGGAGTTTTTCAGATGTAAAACCGCTGAAATACAAGGCTATCTGGAATGTAGTTTTGTTTAAAAATGTGGCAAAACTCACATTTTTAATGTGGCATTCTACAGCTAACGCTACTAGCGGTTTTAAATAACATCCAGTGTGCATGGAGCTGCAAAAGAAAAGGCATTTATTTTGTGCCATAGATTTATTCAATGCTGTACATCAACTACCTTGATGACACTCTCCTTTTTTAACCATTTCCTGCACAGCCTTAGCAAGTCTGTTGGTTGGAGTTGGTCTTTTATCTAGACTGACACAGCAGACATAACTGCACATGCTGCCTTGTGAAGACTAGTAGCCAGCAGTTGAATCATGTAATGTAATCTAAGCCAGCTGCTGCATTGCATGTAGCCGATTTATTAATTTGTGATCTCTCAGATTTTGAACCCTGATTTACCTTTGATAAATTTCAGACTTGTCAGTAAGTGTTCCTGAAACAAAGGGAATTTTATTGATATAGTTTACCGCTATGTCTCAGCAAGGATGTGTACTATTTGATTTTAGATGTACATTTATAAACTTTGCCTGTTGAGACACATTGCTTCCTCAAAATGGCTACCAGAGCTCTTGTTACAGCATTACTCCAGTCATCACAGTTGCCATTGTAACATTCCATAATGGGCCGTGGTTGAGAAGTGGCTATGTCACTGGGGTGCTAAGGAGAGCTGTGGAGGAATACACAGAGGCCCTCAGTAGGTTGTAATGCCAAGGACCTACAAGACATAAAATCTGACCCTTCTTTAGGTAATACTGGTGAATTTCTGGTAAGACATGCTACAGCAGTGGCATGTGGAATGATGCAATGGGGGAAATTGTGGGAAAAGAACATTGACTAACCTCTGATAGAAGCTGTATTCATACAGGCACTATATACCAAGAGCAGAAATGATGTAGAGTACAGAAACCCATAGCAACCAAAAGGTAGTTGCTGTTTGGATGTTAAAGGTTGTGTTAAAAGTTAGCACAGACTTGTTAAAAAAAAATAACAAATGCAGAGGAATATTCCTGATAGCAACACCCTGCATCTGAAACCTAGGCACCCTCTTGCTGCTACTTATAAAACAGAACTTATTTTTTGTATTGACAGATTACAAGGCTGGAAACAACCTGGACCATGTTAAGACATCAGTACACACAGACTGCAATCACTTATGAGAAACAGCTTAAACCCTTTAACAAAAGTTTGTATGAAGGTGCAGGTAAGCGCAAAAGATTTAGGATATTAAAGGAATGATTGGCCCTGGATATGTTGCACTTGTAATATAGCAAATTAGAACAGTGCTTTTTGCTGATTTCATTGGGCAGTCTGGGCTCCTGTTTTGTTTTGTTTTTTTAAATTAGCAAAGAAAAACTGGCCCAAAATAGTATAAAAAAAACACCACATTTCTAAATTTAGCTGTATATTTCTTGCTACTGCCAGAACCTACCACCCAAGAACAACCCAAAATTATTTCTCCTGTTCCCGACGGTCACAGCAATACCACAGATGTTTTCTGTTGTTTGTACCTGAAGTACAGCCCAATTTGTTATTTTTTAATTCTACCACAAATACCAATTTTTAAAAAAAAACCTGACCCAAACACTAACCCTGCGACAGCCCTAGATCAGACCTGAATCTAGGTATTTTTGTTTATTTTATGCACACTTTTTTCCTCTCTGAAAGGACTGAGAGAATCAACGTATCGCTCTGCTCCTCATTCAGAGGGAGAAAACAGCAGGGCTAGGTTTCACAGTGACTGATCACTGTGATAGTTAACCAGAGGCTGTCACAGCAAACAGGTGACTTGGAAATGGGAGCTCCAGCTCCCAACAGCATGGGACCCGAGGCTCTCAGTGACACCCCGGTAATTGTGCCGTGCAGCATGCTCCTAGCAGAAAGACAGGTACGCAAATTAGTGTCCCCATGGAAAAAAAAAAGCCCAGTTCAGTGAGGCTGCTAATTTGTGTGTGGTCAGCATCAAGGGGTTAATAGGTATAGCAATATGGAGCATACATAGTAAAACCTACCTTATTTTTAGGGGAATAGGTCTGATTTTATTGGTGGTCATGCTTTCCATTTAATGAACTACAGCATGATAACTAAGCCTGTAGAATAATGTTTGTATCATCTTGATCTAGGAATAGTATTCACGATGCAGGAGAAATCCACTGTGCCACTTGTGATGCCTCTCCTAATGCTATTGGAGCGTCAGTCTGCCATATATGAAGGAATGGACTGGTGGGAGAACCATGACCGAGGATGTGAAATAATGTTCAGTCACCTGGAAACTGGACGACTCATTGCCCAAAATGCAGCTTTGTATCAGAGCAATGCACAAAAGGCATTAGAAGGTAAGAGGACCTGTCATCTTAGACCAGGCCACACATGCTTTACCAGAAGTAAAAATTATAACTGGCTTTTTTTTTTTCCCCCATCTTGTTTATAAAGGGTTCTGGTTACTGAACCCCAACCCCTTAAAGAGGTAATATTAGAGCTAGATCATAAAGTTTGGTGTTAGTATTTAGGTATCATGTTACAGTATGAACCTAAAACAAAACAATGCTGTATTAAATGTTAAAATATGATGGCAAGGCCCAAATTACAGAAGAGAAGAGGCATTCTTAGGGGGTCATCTAGCTGGGAGCCAGTGGGAATAGGCACTAGAGCAGCACTTCCAGGAGTAGATGCAGACTGTGGGCAGAAGAGAAAGAAGGCACGGCTACATGCAGTACAGCCACATGTTTATTGGTATAAAACAGTTAAAACCACTTACAAGGAATGATAAGGCTCAGGAATATAGACCGTCAATGTAGGACTCCTGTTACTGGTGCCTGGAGCTCACTGTACCATCCAGCAGTAGCAGGAAGATCATAGGTGCAACTCCAAGATGGCCACTACTTTTCAGGGGCCTTCGTGGAACCAACACCATCCACATGGACCGTGCGTCCTGGAAGTGACATCAATGGTGGGTGGTAACACGTTTTGGAGCATGCGCAGTAGCTCCAGTCTTGATGAATAAGCTATTGTGCATGCTCCAAAATGCAGCATCACCCACTATTGACATCACTTCCTGGATGTGTGGTCCATGCAGACAGCGTGCATTCCACAGGAGCCCAGGAAGAGTGGCGCCCATCTTGGAGTTGCACCTAAGCAGGACAGAACAGCCAAGGTTCTCATGGACATCACTGGATCATGATGGGGCTTTGGATGACTGCTACACATTACCTTTAAGCATAGAACACATGAAGGTAAAAAAAACCTTGAGCCTTTACAACCACTTTAACCGCTTGCTGACCACCCCATAACAGATTTACTGCTGCAGGGCAGCTGCGCTATGCAAAATCACATAAATATATGTGATTTTGCATTTCCAGGTAGGGAGGGGGTGGCATATGCACCACCCTACGCACACTGCTATTGCCTCCTGGGGATGCCAATCAGCAGATCCCAGTGAAGCTGAGAGATCTGTGTAAAATAGATCTGTCAGCATGTCTCCTTAGGGAGTGATTAAACTGTATACTGTGTTTTACTAACAGTTAACCCCTTCCTGCCCAGTGTCAGTGCTTTTCTTTTTTTTATTAGCACTGATGATTGTATGGGTGTCACTGGAGATGTCCATGGCAGTTAAGTTTCCACCCAGTGTCAGAATGCTCACTGCAGCCTCGCTACAAGTCGCTGATTGCCACCATTACTAGTACAGAAAAAAAATAACCATTCCAGTATATAGACACTAGAACATTCACATAAACTAATTATTATACACTTATTGGGATTTTTAATGTAAAATAAAAACATTTGCAACTAAACAGAGGTTTTCTGTACAAATTACTGAATTTTGTTAGAGAAACAGCACTTTAGAGTAAAAATCACTGAAACCATTCTGTTTTTCTTAGAAAATGATTTGGTACCTACCTTTTGACAGCACTCAATTTTATTAATGGCACCTTGTTTCATGTCAACTTTATTTTTTTTTTTTTTTTTAGGTTTTAACCCAGATATAGAGATGAGTGAGATCTTCTGCACAGAGTTTCAAATGAGGCTGCTCTGGGGCAGTAAAGGAGCCCAAGTTAGCCAGACTGAGAGATACCAGAAGTTCAACCAGATCTTAACAGCTTTGTCCAAAAAACTGGAACCTCCACCTTCCTAAGACAAAAGCAATCTCTGACCACTAGCATTTTTACAGACCGATTCTAAAAATACAGTCTGTAGGAATGGCTCCTGTTATATATGTACAATGTATATTATTTTTTTTTTTAGTAACCTATAACAACCAATTATTTATTTATAACTATGAATTGACCTTGGCTACTAATAAAGTAGTAGCAGAATGGACAATGGCAGTAGATTACATGTTGTTAAAATCAGGACTCTTAATGACAAACATGAATTTTATCACGGACAGTAAATGTTTTAACTGAGTTGGCAGACTGGGGCAAGTGAAATACAAAAACATAATTAAAGAATTATGACAATGCATCTATAAAGCATCACATGGACATGCTGAAGCAGGACACGTTTGAGCCAATAAGGACAATCATGAAAAGGTTTCCATTTTTATTCCATGAAAATATTCTCAACAGAGAACACTATTCTTCAACAATGCATTTACCAGTAAGGAAAATAAAACATTGAGTGCACAGAAGACTAAAAAATGCACTGGAAAAAATAAAACTTTAAGACAACTCACAGTCAGTTTTTGGATTTTTTTTTTTTTCTTTTGAACCCTATGTTTAAGTGCAAGCACATGCTGTAATTCACAAACAATCAAGAATGCTGCCATATCATCTGCATGAAGCCATGTTGTGTTTACAGGGTTACAGACTCAGGACCTTTGAGTCCAAGCAGGGCAATATAGGCCTTCTTGTGAAAAATGTTTCAATTTCTCATAGATCTGTATAGGGAGAGAAGCAGTTCTGACAAGAGAAAAAAACCCTGTTGAGCCTCAGGTTCTTGAAAGGAACATCGTAATTGGCTGCTATAAGGACAAGAATGTGTCTTGAAAAGATATATAGCGACATTTATAAAGTTTGATTGAATATTGGACGGGGATCAGTATTTCTATACATCTGCAGAGATACCTGGGGGGGTGGATCATTACTACACAATATGGCCAAACATTTCTGGACAGCTGACCAACACACCTATATGAGCTTGTTAGGCATCCCATTCCATAACCGAACATAAAAATCAAGTACCCCCTTTATGAATGCTGTTTTCAATGAACTGTGCTACTAGCTTCCCCATGGTCATTGCAGCAGGACACTTAACACCTTAAGGCCTGGTTCATACCAAATATTTTGAATTGCTTTTTACAGAAATGTACTACAGTCCATTTAACATGGCTTCTTATGGGACATGTTCACATCTATGCGCTTTTAGCTGCTGTGTTTTTGGAAAGGGTCAGGTACTTTTTTTTCTTCTTTTAAATGAAAAAAAGCAGTGTTTTTGCTACAAGAGAGCTCAATGGTGACACTGCTGAAATGAATGTATAATGTTTTTGGCCACATTTTGTATTTTTATTCTGCCCAGCAACAAAAACCATTCCCTTTTAACCAAAAAAAAAAGACAAAACAAACTGCTAGCGAAATGCAGAAAGCATTGCAAAAATGAATAAAAAGCAAACTGCATTGGTGTGAACCAGGCCTAAAAGCAGCAACTGATTGTTCTAGGTTACAGAAAATCCTTGCTCTCAGCACTATATGATTAAATAAACATGTTTTTCTTACAATATCACTCATCGTATTCTGTTATATTCCACATGAAAGAGTGGAACTAGTAAAAATGAAAACAGTCATGTATGAAGAGTCCTTATTGTTTTATTAGGCCTTGATGAATGATTTCACTGGTACAATGAGCCAACAATGACACAAGCTCAGTGAGTGTACATAAAATATACATATTTCCATCAATCCCCCCACCTTGGGAGAACCTGTCATATTACAGGCCATGCTGACAGGAAAGTGGTACAATTTTTTTTAATAAAAAAAACAAAAAAAAAACTACCCTTTTGTAGCTTTGTCAATAATGAGTAAAAGACATTATATAAATAAACCCCTGTATACAATATTCAAAATCTAATCAAATGTTTTAAATAGTCCAAAATGTATATACTCTGACAGTGGTAAATTTTTTTTTGTTTTTTCTTCAGCCTCTATTAAAATGAACAAAAGTGTTATAATATTGTATATACCAAAATAAGTTGAATACAACACTAGATGATACTGGAAAATCCAATTTATAACTCAGCCTAGCGGTTAAGATGACATACACACTTTCTCTGGGCTTGGAAAGTTTATTTGTAGTGGTTAGGCTTAAAGAAAATGCACTTCACCTGTGGGCATGCAGGAAGGATGGCAGCCTGATTGTTTAGGCCAGTTACACTATGGCATTTCTGGAATTCCAAAATACCAATTATTGCTTAGGTGATTGTTACAATCATCTACCATGGCTCATTCAAAATCAAACTGAATAATAGAATCACAATCTACTACTCCAATTTCTATAGATAGTATAGTTTATTTCCACTTTTGCAGCAAGATTAGGATAACAACTCCATTTGTTATGTTTTTATTTAAACCTTTATCTTTATATAACCTAAATATTGTTTAAAATGCTGCTTACCAAATTCTGATGCTCTCCAGCAATGAAAAATCCTACTCTACTCCTTTTTGGAGTTATGTTTGCCAGAATTAACTCTACTGTGCTGGCAGATCTCGTTATATATACACACACACACACACACACACACACACACACACACACACATATACACATACATACATACACACACACCTTTTTTTGTACAGTTTCTCCAAATTTGACTGCAAAAATGAAAATAAACTTAAAAAGAAGAGAAGTTCTGTGAATAGCACTATGCAATGGCACATTTTTTTTCGAATTAAAAAAAAATAATGTGAAAGACGCATGTGATTTGTAGATCGTATAACTATAGCTGAAAAATTCCTGCAGCCAATTGCTGTGTCAGTGTCTGCCTATCACTCCTCCTGCACAGCAGCATAGACGACATGATAGGTAGTCGTTGTCACTATGGTGATCAAACACAGGTCATGATTCACAGGAGGATATCTTCAATTATGTTTTGTCACAAAAAAAGCTGAAATTCAAGCGGTTGATGGCCCTGCTGGCACCACAAAAGTCTATTTAAAAATCACATGGGCCAGGTGGAAAATTCTCAAACAGTTACTGCATCCAATCATGTACAGTCACTGTTTGGGTATTCACAATAGCCAGCAGTGTAGAATTCCTACATCCACGCTGTTGAGCATGCATGAGGAAATTAATTTATTTTTTAATCGTGTGCATGACTAGATTTAATGAAGTAGAAAGGAAACAATTCTCAAATAGGTATGTTGTTTTAAAAGCAAGTAAGATAGTCTTGCTAGGAGGTCTATTTTATTTTTAAGCAATGTGCCTGTTTCATAACAGCTAATCTGATTCTTTCATGTTCTACCACAAGCTAATTGAATGGTGATAGGTTGCTATAAGCAACACTAAGTCAATATACAAGACCCATGTAGTCCAATATCCCGCACAGCAGGGCATGCTGCCTGCCAGTGTGATAACTTCTAAAGGTGACCTCCACCAGCAGAGTACCCCTCTTTCCAGTGCAAGAAGAACCTTACACAGCAACCTTTCTATAAAAACAAAACCTGCTAAACAAAAGGAATAGTTTGATATGTTCCATAAAACATGAACCCAAGTGGAGCGATTTTCCTCCTTTACACACATTAATTCACAGGTTGGGGTAGAGACGAGTGATTAAAGTTGTCTTCAACAACTCTATGTACATTATAAAACAGATCAATACACTTGTTTATAAAAGAAAAGTGCACATAATTATTAAGTATTACTCTCATTTCATCAGATTTATACAATAAAAACGATTGCCTGCAAACAGATTTACCAATGCAATAAAGAGGACCTCCTAACCCACAAATACTCTACAGTTCTAAAGACAATCAACAAAATACAATGATTGTGTTACATGGTTTGGATTCTACATGAAGTTATCCAGAATGGTCAACCACAGAGAACCAGCACAGAGCCGTGTCTGCAGTTGCGGCACAGTAGACATTCTCAGTGTTTGTAGGGTCACAACCTGGATTCATGTCAGCCCTTAAAACACAGAGGAGAATACAATATTTCTTTAAGCACTATCCTCAGAAATTACCAGTCATAAGAAGCCCATTAACATAACTGATCAAACCAAAGTGTTGATACATACGAATTGGTCAAATCAACAGAGAAACGTGGTCTTAAAAAGGTTATTCCCTGAGGATAGGTTTATAAATCACTGCTTTAAGCTGTTCGAAAGGAAACTATGAAATAACCCTTTCAAAAATACACTGGCAATCAACCTCCTAGGCACTCCAGTTTAAGGCAGCATCTGAGTGGAAAGTAGTTGGGTCGGGTCTGTGGAGAGAACACTGAAGATCTTCTGTCTTTGGCCAACTGCTCTGTGCCCTTTGTGTGGATGAACTTGTGGACTTGAGGGGCACATCTTGAGCCAGATTGTTCTCTTGCCCAGAATAGCACATGTGCAAGACATATACAAAAGTTATCGATTTCCAAAAAAAAAAAAATAGGAATGTAATAAGTTATCAGAAAATATGAAGAGTCATAGCAACAAAATAAAAAAAAATAGCTTGGAGATATTAAGTGATTGGTGGACAAGGGAAAAAAAAAGTGGTTTTTGACAGAATGGCGGTCTAGAAGTAAAGACTGTGGAAGGAAGATCAGACTATGGAATAGTTATGGACAGAAGTATGATTCATGCAGGCGCAAAGAATTAGCATCAATAATGCAGATGGCACAGGCAGATATTGGCAAGTTAACATCCTGAAGGCACCCAGCCTCATAGCTATGAAGAATCAAAACACTCTAGTGAATATTTAAAGTGCTGCTTAAATTAAGACACTAAAAATTACTGATGACAAATTCTGATTATGTAAACAATGGAATTTTGGACCACAGTGGAAAATTAAAAACCTCAGATGGCAATCTGAAGTTTACTGGAAAAATTAATAGAATTGATTTCTAGGTTGCATTAAAGGAGGAGCAGGATTTTTTATTTAATTGAGACTACAATTCCACAGTGAGAAGCATATAAAAGATTTCTGGATTAAA